GGATACAGATTCATAAGAGAGTATAATAAAGTGTAACTAAAGAATAAAGGTTTTAAATGTCAACGTAGAAACTTCGTACAGAGATATTTCCAAAAGAGAATATGAAGTGGCTTCTTTGTAAATTAACTATTAATATTGATTTGAAGCGACCATTGTCTTTGGGACATTATTTTATCTGAGAGATAATCCTCTGGATTTAAATAACTAGGTCCTAGGTATATGATAATCACTAAGACACACACACACACATACACACAATGCTTAGTGGAGACACATCCAGAAGATGAGAAAGTGGAACCCTATGGTGACAAGTTGTAATACTTAAAGATACATCCACAGTAGCAGGGCCATTATCAGGTCTCAATTAGTATCTTTATGCAGAAAATCCTCAGATCTATATATTCAGCCTTAGACTCATTGCTTCACTCTGGGATAACTACCTATCTACAGGGACACTTAAACTACATGTCCTAAAGACCTATCAAGTTCCTTACGTCTGAAACACAACTAATTATCTTTACTCCAAACATATCTTCTTCCCAACTCTCCCATTACTGCGGAGGGTACCACGATCCTCCCATTCACTCAGGCCCACAAACTAGGAGTCACCCTTCACTCACACTCACTCCCCAGGTCCAATCAGTTGCCCAGTCTCATCATTTCTACCTTCAGGACAGCTCTCATGTATGTCTCCTTCTCTTCACTAACATAAGCCACACTAGTGTACAAATCCTTTTCATCTCACCCCCTGGATTATTATAAAAGTCTGCTGGATCCTCTTCCAGTCTCAAGTCTCTCCTAATTCTAATCCATCCGTCTTTCAGTCAGTTGTCAAAATGATTTTCCTAAAAGCAAAGCTGTGACCGTATCATCCCTCTTGGTAACAAACCCCAGCAGTTCCATCTTACCGCCATGTTCAAATATAAAGTGTTTTTGTTGGCATTTTGTCGGCCCTTCAAACCCGGTCCCTTCTTACCTTCCCAGTCTCCTGACACTGCCTCACCTCCACACATTCTACAATCCAGCTACAAGGGCCCACTTGTAGTGCTCCCATCTCCTAATATGCCTTTTCACTGGCTGCCCCACATGCCTAGAATATGTTCCCTCCTCACCTCTATCTTAGTTTCCCTGTTCTGCTTCAAGACTGAGCTTGAATCATATCTTCCGCAGGAGGAGCCAATAACCAGTGCCTTCCCTATCAACATTACCTCTCATCTACTCTGAATATATCTTGAATGAATGTTGTTTTTATAGCGTCTCCCTCATCAGCCTGTTACCTCCTTGAGAGCAAGGAAAGTATTTTTGTCTTTCTTCCCTGTCCCCTCCCTCCCTTCCCCCAGCATTCAGCGAAGTTCCTGGCACAGAGTTCATGCTTAATGAACGTGTGTTGACTAACTATAATTACGTAGATACAGGAAAAGAAATCACTCTGTAAAAGCTCGTCTTATGTAAAATTCACTGTTTCAATCACAAGGTAAGAGGGGAGGAATTATTTTATATTTTTTCAGAAAAATTCCTTAGAAATACTAACTACAGCAAAAATAAACCATTTTGCTTTCTGTGCTACTGTGAAATTAAACATATTTACAACCCTTTAAAAAACAGCAGGACAAAACTGATAAGAAGACCATATAACTGTCACCTTAACAACAAGGGCCCAGATAACTGAAAAGTTTGAATGACTCACTCAAAATTACTTATTTGAACTGTACATCACTTTAATCCTGTTATCAGGCCAGGATAATTCTTGGCCAAAGAATTATTCTCCATTATTCCACTTTCACTGCAGACCATAAATTGTCCAACTTTAATGGTATAAATTATATTTAGAACTTCCCTCTCCTCTCTCTCTCTTTCTCTCTCTCCCCTTGCCTTGGCCCCTCCCTTCTTCCCTTCCTGCATGAAGACGAAAGTAGTTTGACTTAAATTTTATACAATAACATACACAATACACAATTCTCTAGAGGTCTTTGTATTTTCTTCCCTGTGAACAAAAGCCCAAATTTATAAACTTTATGCATTACACATTACACACACACACACACACACACACGTGTGTGTGTGTGTGAATAAATAGGTATAGTAGATATAGATCTAGATATAAAAACCGTTTTTCAATATACTTGGTTTTCTCCAAAGTCCTACTACATTTTATTTTATGTACTTAAAATTATTCTTTTGAGGAGTCTGTAGGCTTCACCAGATTGCCAAAGGGGTCCAGGAAACACACAAAAAGGTTAAGAGACATTCTCTAAAGGAATGGAATCTTTATGTCTTAAAACAAGGTTTAGAGAAAAAAGAAAGATCTCCCTTGCCTAACTGAAGGAACAGTCTGGGCATCAAAACACATATAAGCACTTTCATATAAACACTTCTTCTCATTTGCCTTTTGACATGGAACATAAACAGGAGAGGTATTTTTATTTATGTAAAGTCTGATACACTTGGAGAGCCTCCTGAGAGAGAGATCTCCTGCTGGGTATGTCTCAAGAGAAAAAGTGGCCACTGTCAGGCACAGCATCCTAAAGGAGACAAGTGTTCTTCCAAGCAGAGCAAACAAGATACGTGCAGGGCACGCAACCTAACACGAGTCCAAACCAAGCTCTAAGCATTTCTATTTTGTTTACACTGATAAGGCTTCTTAAAATCAAGGATTAAACACAGGCAGTGCTGGAGGTAAAGAAGATTAGTTAGAAAAACAGAATATAAAGTTAGGTTTCAGATAATGATTCCCTCTGCCTGACCTCAGTGAAGACGTGGCAAGGGCACAGGATGGGGAATGGAAGGAAGAAGGGACAACTAGGGGACTTCTTGGATTGGGATACCAGTAATACGTGAGCCAATGATCTCCACAAGAGACCTTAAAGGTCATCCAGTCCAGGACTTCTTAAACTGTGACCCACATGGGGGTCGCAAAAAATTTGGCAAGAGTAAAAGGTTTCTGAACGTACAATGACCAAAAATTAATTAAAAATCAAACAAATAATGAATCCAAGGTGTTTCTGATAGCGCTTGCCCCGTGTTGCATCATACAACCTCGCTACAGCCTTGGCTCTGAACACAAAGCATGCACATTTTGCACAGGACATGCCCTCAGGCCACACGACGCTAACCAAAATGCAAAAAGAGAACGCAAGTGGAAAAAGTTTAAGAAGCCCTGATCTAGTCTAATCTCCTTATTTTATAGATGAGAAAACTGAACTCTTCCCTTTCCACTATCCACCTCCACTGGAGGCTGAGTGACTTACTCAATCACCCAGGGAAACATCAGAGGCAAGATTCGAACCCAAATTCTCTGACTCCATAGTCATTGTGCTCATTTTTCCAATTAGTTTAGAGAAGTCTGTCAGATTTCTGTATTAGCAACTGCAGAGTCTCGTGTAATTCATTATTTGCGTTTTCAACTTGTGTCAACTTTTCAAAAATTAAAACAACCAGTAATTTCTCTTCATTATTTCAGTTTTCAAAAACAGTCATTTAGAGTAGCCCCACGTCTCGGCCACAAATAAGTCTGTTGTTTCTTCCTGCCAAATACTGACTGAAGGGGAAAAAAAAGGTCTTTTTTTCATGAAATTACTTTGATAAAGCCTTAGAGCTACATACTACCTCAGATCTACAAATGGAATTCCAAATTTAGCCAAAAAGGAATTTAGTAGGCACCTTGAAGATAGAGTGTAATTAATGTAGTTCTCTTCTTTCCAATCACCAGCCAAGAGTTCCTGGAGCCAACACTTGTCTGGTCCCAGAAGAATTGTCCCAGTTGGCCAAACTCTCTCTGACCCTGGCCAATCACAAGTTATCAGGCTCTAATTGACTCTAGCTCCCATTCTGTCTGCCCACGTTAACCATGACAGAAAAACAAATCAAGCCTAGAACATCTGAAAACAGATATATCATGGCGCCCCAATGTTAAACTGATATACCATTGATACAAGGGCCTCCAGTGTCACTCAATAAGCTAAAAAGTTTGGAGTACAGCAAAGGGTTCTAGAAATACTGCATTACCACTGCCAACAGGCGTGTGTATGTGTTTTTAATTAAAAAAAAAATGCAAGTGGATTGGACAACAAAGAATGGTGGCATACTCGGTGGGTGTGTGTGCATGTGTGCGTGTGTGTGTGTGTGCACGCACAGTGATTAAGAGAGTTCACTTGGGGCAGGTAGGTGGAGCAGTGGACAGAACCTGAAGTCAGGAGGACCTGAGTTCAAATCCAGCCTTATAACACTTACTAGTTGTGTGACCCCGGGCAAGTCATTTAACCCCAACTGCCTTACCAAAAAAAAAAAAAGAGAGAGAGAGAGAGAGAGAGAGTTCACTCAAAAAATTTATTGGTGATAAACTCTGGCAATGGAAAATGGTCATACTTGATTAAAACAAACAAACAAACAGCCTTCAAATGAAGGAACACACAAAGAGATTTTTAAAAAATGATATGTATGATATCATACATTTGCATTCACTTTTAATTTTTCAACATACATTCACGAAAGCTCACTTAATTGTCAGTGCAGTCTATGAGTTAAGCAGAATAGAAATTATTATCCTATTTAAAAGAAAGTGAGACACAAAGAAATAAAATGACCTAACTAGTTAGTTAGTGACAGAATTGAGACTGGAAACTAGATCTTTTGATCCCTAGACTTTCAGGGCACCAGACCACAGCACCTCCCAAAGGCCATACTGCTCATCAAGAACAGTCTGATTATCAATGGAAAACCAACCCTCTCCCCATGATGAAAGAATTAGTAAAGCTTTCAAATGGGAAACCCCTACATTTAAGGATAATTAACATTCAGATATTTTATGCCAGATTAAGCTAAGAACTCTGAGGACCAATTAGGTACCAAGTATACAAGGTCTTGGGCCTCTAGGTAATTACGTTTTTGACTTAAGTTCACAACTTCTGTTTTTATTACGTCAATGAAACGTTACTCCAAATGTTAATACCTAACTAGAGGAGAGGGGTCTTTTGACTGACCACAGCTCCTCAATACTCTACCTTTTTCCTCTGTCACATGGTGAAGAAAAGGTCTGAGTCTGGCACACTGCAACAGCATGGAACAGCTAGGAAACTCTGCATCTATCACCACTTGATCCAGTGGCTGAAACTTCCCTTGCTGAAAAAAAGATACATCAATGGGAAAACACGCATTATGGTCAGCAAACAACCTTTCTCTCTCCCCAAAGAGGAGGAGAAAAATAATAATAATAATAATAAATTGTATTACTTTATGGCTGGCAGCCTTAAACCAAGGAGGCAGAGAGCCAGGGGTACCACATAATGAATCTATAAATTGATTCCAGACTAACTATAAATAAAGCATTTTAAACACTATCTGCTTATGAAACACTATGACATAAAATTAACCTACACAAAGTTATTCTATGCTCAAAAAACATAGAAACTCGCTCAAAATGGGGGTGGAATGATGAAAGGGACTGGGGCAGGGAGGCAGTGGAGGTAGAGACGAAGGGGCAGCTTTGGAGTGTGGCAGAGGGTTGATTTACATTAGTGAATTTCTGCCCACTGCTTTCTACAGCCACAACCTGCTGGAGGCAGGCCAGCATCAGAACTTTCATTTCAATTGTGATTCCCCAGAATCCCAACACCCTTTTCCATAGAGTCCCAAAAGAAAAAAGTGGCTTATGAGAGTATAGCCCTGACTTTCCACCTCTGGGAAGTCAGTTGCAGTTCAGCCTGAAGTCCTAAATGAAGTGTTTTTGGCACAGCCCGGGCAGCGCTAGGAAGAGCAAGGCTCTCAAGCCGCGTCCTGATTCTGCCAGGCATCCAAACTCAGGACTGTACAACACAACTCGCACACCAACGACAATGCCTTCCCTTGCAGGAAAATTTCTAGGTGCATTCTGTCTCTGTCAGAACCACAATGTCTCCTGATTAAAGAGGATGTCAAAACCTTTTTGGGCAGAGCATTCAGAATCACAGACAAACAACAGAGTTGGGATTAGATCTGATCCCTAATCTTACAGAGAAAGCAATTAAGGTCCAGAAAAACTGTGATTTGCTCCCACTCACAATTAGTTAGGAGCAGAGTCAAGACTAAAGCCCAGGTTTTCTAATTCTTTTTCTTATTTTCTTATTCTTATTCACAGTATACCAAGATAACACCAAAATCAGCCATTCTTAAAAAAAAAAAAAGAGTATTACATGAAGAAGATACCACCATTACATACAAACAGAAAAACATACAAAATTTCGTTTTAAATGTAAAAAATATAATTAAAAGGGGGACATCTAAGTGGTGCAGTGGATAGACTGCTGGGCCTGGAGTCAGGAAGACTCATTTCATGAGTTTAAATCTCATCTCAAACACTTATTAGCTGTGTGACCCTGGGCAAATCACTTCACCCCATTTACCTGTAAAATGTACTAGAGAAGGAAATGGCAAACGATTCCAGTATCTTTGCCAAGGAACCCCAAATGGAATCACAAAGAGTCAGACATGACGAAAAAACAAATAAACAACAGCTGAATAATTAAAAGAAAACAAAAGAGGATTAAAAAGGTGAGCACAGTGCAGGGCCAGTCATATGAAAATTAGGCTTGTGGAGATATATTTATATGTCCTAATATCCACAGACCCAGAGACTTGGACTGAAGTTAGATACACAGACCCTCAACACATCATCCCTTCTGAACTGGGTTCCATTTCCCCCACTTTACTAACATGACAACATACACGAAGTTTTCCAAAATCAGTATTAGACTTGTGAGAATCTGCAGCAGCCAGCAGGATTCGAAGAAGCAGTGGGGTTTTCTATCCACCACATCCCCCTTTCCCTCTAGCTCTCTATTTCTGTTTTAGGAACAATTTCTTTTGAACCCTGAGATGCTGTTTTCCATTCTCTTCTGCTGGACAGAAATATTAACTTAGGACTTCAATGGGTTGAAACAGGAATGCTTATTGACCCCTCTGTTCACCAGGGGAAGGGGTTTTCTCAGATTTCATGTTGTAAAGAACAGAGGTTGGAAATGCCTTGGACTCAGTGTCCTTCTTGTCACTCAAGTGGAAAGTCTGGTTTTCAGAGGGCCAAAATCTTAAAGCGACTGGATTTCTATTCCAAGATCACTCATGCCTTTACATTTTGTTAGAATTAGCTAGAATTTTGAATACCAGATGACTAGAAGTCATGTGTGTACATATGTGGCCTACCACAGGTCAGGGTTGGAATACAATGCTATAATTAACTAATTTGTTCACTTTTATTTCCTTCCCCCCCCCCAAAAAAAATTGTAACGTGAGAATTTGCTAATATTTTGGATCTAACATTAGTTACACTTGGGACTGCTGTGAAGAAAAGAGTTATTTTCACTTATGTCAAAATAATTTCTGCAATAGAAAATTAAAGGTTAACATTAGAAAAGATCCTTATCATATTTGGAACTAACCCCTAACAAATGGAAAAAAGTTACAAACTGAAGACATCGTCTAAGAACCATTTTGTGTCTAAAATGAAACCAAAACTTTCTGCTATTAACTACAAACATTTTTGCTAAAGGACTATCAAGTAAAGATGGCTTGGGAGAGTGTCACTAGATAAAAATGAACACACCTTCGGCATCTTCCATTTCATGTAGCAAAAACAGAAAGAATCCATTTTTAAAGATGGGGAAGGAAGTAAGCATTTCTAGAATGCCTACTATGTGGCAGGTACTATTCTAACTGCTTTTTACAAATATTATCTCATTTGATCCTCACAATAACCCTAGACAGGTGCTCTTATTATCCCCATTTTACAACAAAGGAAACTGAGGCAAGGAGAAGGTAAATAATTTTCCCAGGGTCACAAAGCTAGTAAATGTTTGAGGCTGAATTTGAATTCAGGTCTTCCTGACTCCAGGCCCAGTACTCTAAGCACAGTGCCATGAGCTGCCTCTTTTTAAAGGTCATGAAAGCCAGAGGTCTTTAGTGGTTTTCAAACTTAATTCATATTATTTGGTTCACCTGAAATTTCCATTTTCTCCCTAGGTATAGCTTAAGAAGGGTCGTGGCCTCCTGAATAGCAGAAAAGCATCTTCCTCCCCTCTTACCTGTCCTAATCCCAACAGCTAACTGTTACCTATCACATCAGGAGAAAGAATGACAGTTATATAGTAAAACCTCACTAATTCAGCCTAACTGGGGAATATGAAGAAAGAAAAAGGAAGAAAGTAAGGGGAATTTGTTATTTTCCAAGAGGTTTCTACTAAATCCTAAAAAAGTAAAGAAAGCTCTAAGGAGAAAGTAATGTTTTAATAAAGAGCTAGAACTCATTTTCAAACATATTAATTGTTCACATCTAAAGTACCCCAAAACATTTTGTCCTCTTGAGAAGTTACAATTTTGGTATGATAATTAGCTGGTTTTAGAAAGCCTCTTCTTTGATGAAAAAAAGAAAATGTCAGTTCAGCCTTGACTGAAAGATCACAAATGCCAAGTGAATGTGACCCCAACCAAAAGGGTTTTCGAATACAAGTGTCAGCTAAGATATCCCACCTCTCTAATGCCTTCTGAACCTCCATTCCTTCTACTGACTTCCAGAGTGTTTGAGGCACAGGTGAGAAAGTGAGTTTCTCTCTTCCTTGCTGAATTCTCCCCAAGGATGCTGTTATTTTCTTGACATCTAAATCATACTTCTCCAAATCTAACAAGTGTTTTATAAAAAAATTTCATTGCTTAGTCCTTATAGGACTCTAGTGGGGGTACACAAAGAGGTGAAAGTGACTTGCTGAAGGTCACATAGCAAGTTAGTGGCTGAGGCTGGATTAAAACTCAGGCCCTGGGGGCTCTGAGGTATGAATCTGTCCCAGAGCACATGCTGTACATTTTTATGATGGTGAAATTAAATCTGAAGTTTTTGGAAACTACATTTTGGAATAATTAAAAGAGGAGGGGGCTGGGATAGAAAAGAGTATTGTATTTTTTCCCTTAACCTTTTAGTGTCCCAAACCAGGAAACATACCTCTTTCTCAGCCTTTATAAGGTAGTACAGAACCATAAACAAAGGGTCCATTGGCGTTACAAGTAAAAGGCGACCATCTGCAGATTGAAAGAGGGAAAAAGAAATTCAACACATGGAATTGCCAACTCTATTGTCTTAATCTTCAAGGTGAAAATGAGTCACTAAAGTATATATTTAAAATCTTTCACGTTTAACAGAAGTTCATAAATAAAGCAGTGATTGTGTATGATTCTGAACAGGCAACACATGGCATAAAAAGTCTGGACCCCCTCAAAAAAATGTCTCTTCTGTATGTGTGAAAAGAAAACCACGCCTATTCTACTGCATCTCCCCTTCAAGCACCCTAAACTCATGAAAATGCTGCAGCAAAGAGGATGAAACTACACAGAATTCATCTACTGTTCCATGGGTGGAGGCTTGGGTACCAGTAGATCAGTGGGGATGTATCAGGATGGAAGAGCCTGGGGTTCTTAACTCTCTTTGTATCCCAGACCCCTTTGGCAGGCAGATGAAACCTATGGATCCCTTCTCAGAATAATGTTTTCATATGCACAAAATAAAATACATAGGATTAAAAAGGAAATTAATTCTATTGAAATATAGTTACTTTTTTTTTTAAAGTTTGCAGACCTTTCTAATAAAAAAAAGAAAAATATATGTAGATACAGCATACACACATGTATGGACCAGTGTGCACACACATTTATATGCACATGCATGTATGCATCTATACAGTACATGTTTACATATATATGTGTTTACATAACCTATCTATAAATATATGTGCATGTATGTATGCATGCATGCATGTGTAAGTATACACACACATACATGGGTTGCTCCAAAAGTCTCAATGAAATTTTAAACTGACCTGAAACTTCTGGGATACCCTGTTTGTGTTTGTGTGTGTGTGTGTGTGTGTGTGTGTGTGTGTGTGTGTGTGTGTATGTGTGTGTGTGTGTGTGTCCATTTTACAGTAAGCAAGAAACTTAAGGAAAGAATTTCATACTTTGGCACTGCCTGATTATTCAAAAAAATCTGGAAAAACAGCTTATAAAAATAACCTTATCAAGAGCACTAAGTTTATTTTACATATGGCATCTACTATATTCAAAAATTAGGAACAGGTTTTCCAGCCTGAAAACAAAATCCAGGTGGCCAGTCCTTAGAACAGCTATTTCTTCTGGGGAAAGAAAGAAAAAGAAAGAAGAAAAAGAGGAAAGGAAGGAAGAAAGAGAGAGAAAGAAAAAGAGAGAGAGAGGCTTGAAACATGATGTCCAAATGATGTCATTGTCATTTCAGCTGTGTCTGACTCTTCGAGACCCCATTTGGGGTTTTCTTGGCAAAGATACTGATTGCAGTGGTTTGCCATTTCATTCTCCAGCTCATTCTATAGATCAGGAAACTGAGGCAAGCAAGGTTAAGTGACTTGCCCAGGGTCACATAGCTATGAAGTCTTTTTGACTCTAGGCTGTCGTATCACCTAGTTGCCTTCCAAATAACCACCTCCTATTTTTTGAGCCTGTCTAGTTTCATTCTGGGTATCAACGTCTCTTCCCGACAAAATTCAGCCACTGGTAGCTGTTCTCTGAAGTAGGCTCCCAAATGTGTGACTAAATGAACCACATTCCACAAAGCATCGATCACCACAGGATGCTTTTTCTGCCTGTTTCACAGAGACAAAATTATTCTCACGCTCAGAAACAAACTGCCAGGATTTTACTGACTCTATGCAACTTTGAACCTCATCTTCTGCTGAGCTACAGAGTGAGTTAGTGAAGGAAGGGATGAGACCCTTAATGGACCTCCAGGAATCAAATGCCCTCTTATCATAGCTCTAGAACAGAGCTTCTTAACCAACAGGCCCAGAGATCCATGACCTCAGGTAGGGAAAAAAAAATATGTCTTTATTTCAAGATAAATGGCTTCCTTTGCAATTCTAAGTATTTCGTTTTATATATTTAAAATACTATTTTTAGAAAGGGATATTGTTATTCAAGGATCATATTATTCTGCCAGAGTGGTCCATGACACACATACAAACAGTTAAAAACCCCTGCTGTAGAAAGCAGTCAAGATCTTAGGATCTTCGATTCAGAGCAGAAAGGCAACTTAAAGTCCACTGAGTCTGATGCTCATTTCATGGATGATGAAGCTGAGACACAGAGAGATAACTTACTTACCCAGGGTCCCACAGCTAGTAATTGTGTCTGAGGTGGGATTTGAACCCAGGCTTTGCTAACTCTCAGTCCAGTGCTCTCTCTACTAGGCCATGATGACTCCTGAGAGCCAGTCTTTCTTACTAATAAGTTGAGAGTAGTACAGGCAGGCAAGAAGAACAGAAGGCTGTTAAGCGAGTAAGAGAAGGACATTCTCTGATGAGAATGGAAAGACACACGAGAAGATGAAGAGGCACACAAGCTGACTTCTTAAATGCCATAATTTACTTCTTAAACTGTTCTGCCTCTTCTCCTCCCTCTCTACCCCCTTGCCCTGATCAGAGAAATGCAAGTTAAAACCACTCTGAGGTATCACTTGACGTCTATCAGAAACCACAACTGCTAGAGAGGGTAAGGAAAAATAGATACCCTAATGCACTGTTGGTGGAGTTGTGAACTGATCCAACCATTCTGGAAAACAATCTAGAACTATGCCCAAAGGGCTATAAAACTGTACATACCCTTTGACCCAACAATACCACTATGAGGTTTGTATCCCAAAGAGATCAAAGATAAAGTTTTGAAAAGAACCATAGGCACAAAAATATTTATACACATTTTGCATATACATACACCACTTTTTGTGGTGGCAAAGAATTGGAAATTGAGGGGATGCTCACCATTTGGGGAATAGATGAACAAGCTATGGCATATGATTGTGATGGAGTACCATCGTGCTATGAGAAATGATGATGGGGTTGGTTTTAAGAAAAAAACAAAACAAAACATGGCAAGACCTAGACGAATGGATGCAAAGCGAAGTGAGAAGAACTGGGATATCATTGTGCACAGTAACAGCACTGTTTTAATGATGATCAACTGTGAGAGACTTTGCTACTCTGACCAATACAACGATCTAAGACAATTCAAAAGGACTCATGATGCAAAAATGCTAGTCACCTCCAGAGAGAACTAATGAACTCTGAGTATAAATTATATACTTTTCCCTCTTTCACTTTTTTTTTTGTGATATGGCTAATTTGGAAATATGTTATGCATTATTTCACATGTATAATTGATATAATTTTGCTTGTCTTTACAGTGGGTGGAAGAGAAAGAGAATTTGGAACTCAAAATTTAAAAAGAAAAGACTGTTAAAAATCAATAATAATTTAAAAAAAAAAGTTAAAAAAGACTGATCCATCACACCAAGTAAGGGTGAGTTTTATCTCTTCCTCTCCCCACATGCACTACTCCCCTCACCCTGCCCCTCAGGAGTTGTTCAGTATTTCTTAAATACAGGTTCTGAAGGAAAGAGGGTTACTAAATCACAGATACTCCTGAAAATTAGAGAGACTAAACATGTTTCTATGAACACAATGGTGTGCATTCATGCTACTCAGATAAGCCATACTTCTGACCAAATGATGGCAAGATTGTAGCTTCAAAAGGCAGCTAAAATATATAGATATTGGTCAAAACAAGTTCAATCTTCTGTCTCCTTTTTCTATAAAGTGAGCTAACTGATGAACAAGTGAGGCTATGCGTTGGCCAGACTCTTCCACAGCTATACATTCAAATGAAGAAGTAATGTAACCTTAGATTCTTAGTTAGGGTGAAGGGGAGACATGCACCATATAACTCACCGCGTTGAACTGTCTGACCTATAAACCAAGAATGGTACTCTTCATGGAAAGCTTTTACTTCAAACAGCTGTTGCGCATTGGTATCGAACAAGTAAAGGGCTGCTTCCCCTGTTAAAAGAAATCTGTTTTGTATTTGTAAGTTTTCACAAAAATCAAGACTGCCCAATGGTTCTGAGGAATTTCTAATATGTACATCAACATACATAGATACCTTCTCTATAAACTGTAACTCCAAAGAAAGTTTATAGCTATTATATACAGATGCTTGTTTTCCAGCTCTGTAAGCCCCACTGAACTTCAACCAATAAATAAAAAGTGCGAATAATTTATCTTAACTGCTACAAGGCCTTTAATTCAAACCTACATGGGATCAGGAGGGACATTCCATTTCTAATCTAAACGAGAGTGTAATGGGAGGGCCTGACGAGGTACAGCTGAAGCCCAGGTCACAGGTCTCAGATGCAGCTTGCGGCTAGGCTAGAACATAGGCAAAGCCTGCAGACCCTGTGGGTCTGACCCGTGCATTAAAAGGCAAATGCCTTGGGATCTTTTTCCTGAGGCCCCAAGCAGGTTTAGTCTTCATTTCAGCCAATTTTAGCATTGTGGGCTTCCTTAATAAGGGGGGAAGAGGACAGGAGAAAAAATGGACACACAGTATGTAGCAAGCTGTATGTTTCACATGTGAATTCACAAACTCTTTAACCGACTAAGAGCTGCTTCAGACCCACATGTGTAAAGGGCAAAAAAACTGTTTTCTTCTGTTGCCCGTGCAAATCTCAGGTAAAACTAAAATTTAAATAATATATTGACAATATTGATAGACTTTTATATATCTTCAAGCTCTAGTTTTCCGCTACTATCTGCACTTTTGATGCATTTTGGGGAAATTTTAATTGCCCATGATAAAATTTCTCCCACGGGGAAGTGGTAAATTTGTCTGACCAGTCACTTACTCAATTCTAAGAGTAGGACCTATGAACTCTGAATTCTGAAGCACGTGCCTTTACTTAGAAAGGGTACCATTTTTCCCTTTCTTGTTGCCTCACAGAATTGCAGTCTACCTTTCTAACTAAATGCTATTTCAAGAAATAAAGAAAGCATCTATTGCTTCTGACTTACCATAAAATTGTCTTAAGAAACCTATATAACTTAACAGAAAACAATACCAGACACAGAAAATGAATTTCATAAAACACCATCCTCATTCACGGTTCTCTGATAAATCACTTAAGATTAAATTAGTATAATTTTACTACACATATTATAATATGACTATAAAATTTTAAGAATATTTAAGATACTAATAATACAGAAAGTGCACTGGATTTGCAATTATAATGAAATTTCCTCCAATAGAGTACATTTCTCTCAATCCCTACAATATGTTTTTAATTCAAGGTAGATCATCATCTACTGACAAGAAAAAAGATACTATTCTTTGGACCGAGTAAAATATGAAAACGAGAGCTAAAAATGAAAATACTAAAAAACCTGGCATGTCAAGTGAAACCCTCTCTTTTCCCTTTGATTGTTTATTTTACTTTTATAGCATAAGATGAATATGAATGAAGACCAACTTTGGATACTACCCTAAGAAAAGTTGGCCTAAGGATCCCAAAGAAAATTAATGCATTTAAAAGAAGTCAAACTTGCTACTTTTTTGTGCTGCCAATATTTCTGATGAAAGAACAGTTTCACTGATTAAAATTATAAGAAGAAATCAGAATTGTTTACACTGAAAGAACTAGTTGGCGTGACCAGGAAAATCTCTGGCATGTTTCTTTCACACTGGTGTTACCATCTTAATTTTAAAGGTTATTCTCAGAAAGGAAGAAACGAAGTCCTGCACGTACACAAACACCTACATCTTTGTTTGGGGGGAAAAAAAACCAAAAAGCAAAAACAAAACTCAGATGATTATTTACATCATGGAAAAAACGCCCAACACCAACACACAAGATGACTTGCCTGTACATGGGTTATGCAGTCTTGTAAACACAGGTCCATTTTCAGTCTTTCCTGGAAGATCAGTAACAGATTCTGAAAAGGAATAATGAACTTATAAACTTAAGAGAACCATTTTATGCTGCCCATTTTACATACCTTACCTAATTTCCTGAATAAAAACAACAAATTATCATGTGTAAAGTGCTTTACTAGGTGCTGGGGGTAATGCTGTCATTGTTTAGTCATCTTCAGTTGTGCCCAATTCTTTGTTACACCTTTTGGGGTTTTCTTAGCAAAGACATTGGAGTGGTTTGCTATTTCCTTCTCCAGCTATTTCCTTCCTCACCTCCTTACAGATGAGGAAACTGAGGCAAAGAGGGTTAAACGACTTGCCTAGGATCACACAGCTAGGAAGTGTTTGAAGCCAGATTTGAACTCAGGAAGATGAGTCTTTCTGATTTGAGGCCTGACACTCTATCCACTTTGCCACCGGGCTACACCACAGTTAAAGACAGCTCCACAGGGTGCACAATGAGTCAATCTGTGAAACACAGACTCCTTGAAAAAGAAATGCTTTTCAATTACAACACTGCCAAAGTTTTAGTGAGGCCAAAGAACATATGATGAATAAAACTAGAGTGGTTTTCATCTGTCCTCCACGTTTTAAGGCACAATTTGGGGTATTTTTTTAAAATGATGAACTAATATCTAGGAAGGATATCTGCCTCGTAAGCAGTTTGGTTATTTCTACTCAGAGAGGAATTGACATAGAAAAAAAATTCAAAAAATTTTAGAGGGAAAAAATTTTCTCTGAGAACTATACTGGATTTTATAAAGTTACTAAAATGGAGAGGGTGTGGGGGATGATAGAAAAATGTTTTCTGTTCTCTCCCCCAGACGTTACATCTCTAAATATTCCAAAAATTTGTCAAATATTATCATTTTTGACATATTGTTATATAAAATATTTGTGTGTTCCTGGCATGTCTTTGGCGCTATGTTTCTGTTGTTGTTCAGTTATTTCAATTGGGTCTGACTTTTCGTGATGCCATTTGGGGTTTTCTTGGCAAAGATAACGAGTAGCTTGCCACTTCTTTCTCCAGCTCATTTTACAAATGAGGAAACTGAGGTAAACAGGGTTAAGTGACTTGCCCAGGTTCACACAACTGGCAAGTGTGTGAGGCCAGATTTGAACTCAAGAAGATGAATCTTCCTGAATCCAGGCCTGGCACCCTATCCAGTTGCCCTGCTTGGGAGCTACAGAAGCAAAAACTTTAAAATTACATATTTTTCAATTTTCTTCCACACTCATTCCCAAAAAACAAAAACAGAAGCAAAAAACAACTCCTCTCTGCCCCGCCCAAAACTACCCATAACCACTTTGTTTTGTATTACTTCAATATTATTACTTCTTGAAATTTTTAAATTCTCATACCTGTTCTTACACAGATTAGTGAAAAAACAGCAGAAATTAGGCAAAAGCAATGTGAATTTTAGAAATTTTCTAACAAGATTCCCAACCAGACTGACTTTTCTGACTAACAAGACCCACCAATTTGGTCCAACAACCAGGAGCTTCAAACACCATTCAGGTTGGAAGATCCCTTTCCCCTAAACTGACCTCTAAGGCCCCTCCTCCCCAGCTCTAAAATATCTCTATGATTCTCCATCCAGGTAAAATTTACTGAATGCACTGGACTAGATGCCAGACTCATCAGGATTCCATTATACTATGTAAGACAGAATCGTATATATTATTAAGCTTAGTACCCTCACAGTGAGGCAAGTAGCTATCTGCATAAGGCACTGGTACCTCAAATAAAGAGTGACAATTTACAAAATGATTCTTTGCTCGACTGAATGATTTAGGATGGAATTCTTTTAAACAGCAAGTGCCTCTTAGTGTACTGTAAATGTTTCAGTTTACACTTGGTCTTTTCAAGATCATGTCACTGCATAACCTGCAACAGCATTCTATTTTCTTTCATGGAGCCAGATAATTTTTTGGAGGTGTGAGGGGGAAGTGAGTATAGGTGAATGAGGCAGGGGGAAGGGGGTGTCTGAACCTGTATGGAGTACCAGACCAGTCTGAATCCTGCTTCAGACATACACTAGCTGCGAGACTGTAAACAAATCTGTTCTCTCAGCCTCAGTTTCCTCATCTATAAAACTGGGACAAGGAATAGATCCTACCTTACAAGGTTGTTGTTAGGATCAAATGGCATAGCGCAAGGGTGGGGAACCTGCAGCCTGGAGGCCACATGTGGCCCCTAGGTCCTGAAGTGCAGCCCTTTGACTGAATCCAAGCTTCCCAGAACAAATCCCCTTAATAAAAGGACTTGTTCTATAAAACTTGGACTCAGTCAAAAGGCCGAACCCAAGGACCTAGAAGGCCACATGTGGCCTCGAGGCCACAGGTTCTGCATCCCTGGCATAGTGTATGTAAAGCACTCTACAAACAAAATTTAAATGTCAGTCGTCATCATCATCATCATCATCATCATCATCATCATCATCATCATCATCCTCATGCTAAATGTGGAATTGGGACATGTTTACTGACAACCCTAGGGTTAAAGTACCTACAAACTAAAGATGAAATCTTTGATTTTTTCAAAGCAGGGCTAACCCCTGGAATGCTGGAGCAGCAGAGAAAGGGAAAGCAAAACATTCTCATAATCTCTCATTCTCTTTTTCTCTCTCCCCCCCCACTCCCTCTCCCTCTCTGTCTCTTTCTCCCTGTCTTTCTGTGTCTTTCTGCCTCTATGTCTCTTCTCCCTTTCCCCCTCCCTCTCTCTATTTTTGTCTTCCTGTGCCTTTCTCCGTGTCTCTTTCTCCTTCTGTCTCTTTGTCTCTGTCTCTCTTGTCTTCTCTTCTTTTCTATTCTCCCTCTCTCCTTCTTCCCCTTCCTCTATCTCTCTCTCTTCAGTATGGATTGATTAAAAGCACAATTCATGTAGAATAGACAGCATAATTAAAAATTAATAGGCCTCCCCCCACTTCTGCCTCCAAATCTGACTTTTGATTTAAGGCCTGAGTCAGAAGAGGGAAAGCTGGTGTCCTGAACTCAGTGTGCAAAATCAAAGTTTTTAAACCTTTTATCAGCAGTTTTTCTACTTCCTGAAAAATGTATTTATTGCTCAGACAAAAGTTCACCCATTTAAAAGACTGGAGACAGACAAGGACATTCCAGAAGTAAAACAACAACAAGAGACATAAAACCAAAGAAATGGCAAAAACCAAACTCACAGTCAGGCAGGTGAGGACAAAGAAGTGACTGTGGGAAAAAGCCCCTTCTCTGTTTAGCTGACTCTCCCCTCTTACTGAGGCTTTATCCTTGCCAGGTGTCCTGTGACTACAGTGGTGGGGACCTCATTGATATAAACTAAATTTATTGCCACAAAAGTGCTCTATCCTTCCTCAAATTACCTTGTATTTAATTGTTAATAAGCTCCATCCTCAGGGATGGGATAGTTTCATTTTTTGGGGGGGGGGGATGGTGGTGGTTCTCTATGGTCAACATCTTAGGATAGTGCCTTAAACACAGGCTGAATTTAATTAAGAAAAAAAAATTAAGAAAAAAAAATGGTAACACAAAAGAGATCTTGATAAAAGATCATTGTGCAACCACCACAAGAGACACTGGGCAAAGAGTTTTCTTTTTTAATGTTAAGAAAGAAGCAAATATTACTCACTGTCACAATAAAGTAGAAATTAGTGTCTAACAGCATCACATGACAAAGAGACTCAATAAAAACGGCCATTTGGCAACTAAATTTTACATCTGGGTAAATTACCTTTACTTTGTAGAAATACTTTTAAATGTTTAGAGAAGACTGTACACAAGCATGCTACTAAAAGGCTGGTGATTATAACTTTAATTTCTCTGCTATCACAACAGCATCCCCCATATGAACTTTGTCCAAGTCAGAAATAAGATAAGAGCAGGCGAGTTAAAGTACATAAAAATTTTAAAATCTTAAATTCCTCTTTTAAACTTGGGATATGCACTTAACTGCTTGATAAGAGTCCTGATCCCACTCACCCCTTCTCAAAATGCTTGGGGGAAGGGAGAAAAACTCTTTCACAGGGCTTGGAGGTTAGACAAATGTCATAATAAAAGATAAAAGGAACAAAGTAAAAAACGAACCAGCTGTCAAAAGAATCCTGGCAATATGTCCTGCTAAAAGACAGACACATTCATTAATCCATCCATCCCTACGGGTATTAGTTGATGAAACTACATCCAAAAAACCACCAAAGAACTCAACAGCCCCAAGAAGTACAGGGCTTGCAGTTTAACATAACCATTCTTACCAAAATCTTAAAGGACTATAAAAAATACTACTGCAGTAAGCCTCATCATTACCTTTCCTGCAGGAAAAAAATTTAAACCAATCTATGTACACTTTATACCCTCCCCCACAAATTCCTTTGTGTATGAGGCTGGGTGCTGTGGTGGTAGCCCCTGTTACTGCCAAGGACTCCAGAATGTCTGGGTACTCTATCACTAGCCCCAGAAGCATCTGGAGCCAGAGCTCTGGCCACAGCTCCTGTGACAGAATGTTTCCATCTGAAAAGTAGAACACTACTGTGGTCCAAGAGACACAAGTGAAGCATCCCTTCTTCCTCCAGCAGACATGGACAACACCTCAGGATCTTATCCTTTTCTATCCAGTGTATCTCATCTGCTGTTCCTATCCTTATTTCTAACACACACTGTACTACAATCCCTGTTCTATACCAGAGGGGCCAGCCAGTATCAGTGTCTCATAGCTGAGGCTCACCCTACAAGGACAGTGGGTAAATGGGAGAAGGAAGAATAGAGATGAGTTCCTAGCCTGAGTTGGAATGGTTAATGCATTTTCCCATAGTGATATTATTAACTATGGAGGCTTGAGAGGTACCATAGAGGAAAGTGTACTAAACTTGGCATCTTCTAGGTACATTAGTAGTTAAACAGACATTTGTGGGTTCGTAAGGAATAGAATCTTAATTGTTGTTTCTAGGAGGGAAATGGCTCCATATTTTCATCAGTTAAAAAAAATTGATGAACTCTTAGAAGACAATTCATTTGTCAGAAAGCAAAGAAT